TACTGCAGGACAACGTGACGTGAACATGCATGTCTGAACCACAGGACGTACTGCAGGACAACGTGACGTGAACGTGCATGTCTGAACCACAGGACGTACTGCAAGACAACGTGACGTGAACGTGTATGACTGAACCACAGGACGTACTGCAAGACAACGTGACGTGAACGTGCATGTCTGAACCACAGGACGTACTGCAGGACAACGTGCCGTGAAAGTGCATGTCTGAACCATAGGACGTACTGCAGAACAACGTGACATGAACATGCATGTCCGAACCACAGGACATACTGCAGGACAACGTGACGTGAACGTGCATGTCTGAACCATACGACATACTGCAGAACAACGTGACATGAACATGCATGTCTGAAGCACAGGACGTACTGCAAGACAACGTGACGTGAACGTGCATGTCTGTACCACAGGACTTACTGCAAGACAACTTGACGTGAACGTGCATGTCTGAACCACAGGACTTACTGCAAGACGACGTGACGTAAACGTCTAACCACAGGACGTACTGCAAAACGACGTGACTCAAAGGTATATGTCTGAACCACACGATTTACTGGAAAACGACGTGACTTAAACGTGTATGTCTGAACCACAAGTGTTACCTTCCGTTGTGCTGAAATCACACACCGTACACCATAAGAGCCCCTGACATCATACAATGTGACACATAAGTAGGCTCCCCTCCTTCACCACCTGCTGCATGACAAAGACTTACACGGTATTATATGGTTCATCTGCTAGCGCCGCACTCCCTGTGTCCAACGTATCAGGAAAGGATTTCAAACAAAATGCAGAATCAGTCAGCTACACGCTATCATAAACACAAACGACAGTGAACGTTGCGGCCAGAGAGCCTTCATCAGCACACTCGATGAATACACAATACCTCAAATACGGGGCAAGAATATACAAAACCACTTAACTAAAGTATCTCCAAAAGAAATCAGATGTCTTGGTGGTCAACTGAATTTCTGACACGACTGTGACCATACGTGTATGTGCGCGCGTGTTTGTATTTGTGTGCATGTGTGTGTGTCTATTAGCACAGTTGTTGACCTTTTGTTATCTCATCTTACAAACTTCTATGGTACCTATTCACAAGTGTAACATTAATTACCAAATAACTCACCAGGCGTTTACTAATATCTGGTTAGATGGCTTTCTTGAGTGCATGCGGCACATAATTGTGTTACCATGCGTATATGACAGATCCAAGGTTTTACAGGTGAAAATGTACCTTAACCCTTTTAGCACGGGAAGTTTTTCAGAGGTCTAGCCAAAAACACGGAGCATTTTTTCAGTGAATTTGGTTATTACTTTATTTAATTTTTTTGACAGATTTCTGTTATTCTGACCCCTATGAAATAATATATCTATTTGAAGGATATAGACTGAAGTTCGTGATTTTCACAATATCGTTAAAATTAATTGATGTATATGCAAATTATCTCATTTGCATATCTAAAAACAGAAAATATGAATTTGAATTTTCAACTTCAATGCTTGAAACATAAAACTAAAAACAAAAATTTTTTTAATTTGAAATCTTTTTATTGATCTTTGGCCTTTTTACAAATGTTGTAAGCAATTCAATAGTCAAAAACAGGTATATATATGTGAAACAGCAATAATATCTTTAGGTGACATGTGTTTTTCACCATCAGTCAGCACTATAAATGGATGTGCCGGAGTGTCAACACCTTCGGGTGGATATACCCTCAGCCATGGTTGGGCTGTGGTCTGAACACAACATCGTCCCCATCTGATTCCCACTATAACTACTAACACTAAATCCTGCATCAGTATCAACAGAATTAGTGTCAACACTAGATTCAAATGTTTTATCAACATCAAGTTTAGGGGCAGAAACATACGAGTCAGACATACTTTTAGCGGTTCAGGTCACTATCTAAAAAATTCAACAACAATTTTCACTTCGATACCAAACACTCGAAAGTCGCCATGTGTAAAGCTGATACCGCAGTTAATATAAATGAATCACTTTCAGTGTTTCAAAGTAGGAGATTTCTTAGCGGTTCGAGGCGAAACACGATCGGGCCGATCATCGGCCGTTCCGTGTTTTTGGCAAGACATCCGCCGGCCGATAATCGGCCCGTCCGTGCTAAGAGGGTTAAAGTGGTCACGGACAGGGAACACATTCTGCATGAGGCCTTATGGAATAACAAGGGACAACGGCTGTAAAGAGATAGCTCTTGGAGGGCACAGAAAGAATTCAACACTAGATCTCTTGTGTGCTGCTACTGACAAGTTAGCGCCTCGTGGTTACAGTAAAAAGGTAAAGTCGGGAGATGTCAACCAGCGTCATTGCACACGGTTATAAACCATAAGTGTTCTGCCACCAGCAGGGACAGCTGATAAGAAACCTTCCGCCTGTGTCACCGTTCTCACGCAACTCCGTAGCTACAGCGAAGTTTCTTAATTTACCCCAGAGTGTTAACTCTGATACCCATTACCTAGAGGTTGGGTGAACCCCGGGAACCGCTAGGTTTCGAATACCGACCGTGGGCTGCAGCGAATCGCAGCTGGATTTGAAAGCCATCTTCCCATCGACATCGCTAACGGGTTACAGTGCTGCCCAGCAAAACAGGCTTGCACAGAGTGATAGTTACCGTGGACCGAGGATGCAGAGAACGGATAGCTGGTGAAACGGAGTCAGAGTGCAAGAGCTGGTCAATGAAAATTCACGCCCAGGTGACATCATACTATACACTGATGGGTCTGTAGTGAGATGAAAGAAGAGTGGCTGGGGTTTTATAACAAAGGTGAACGGACATGGCTTGACAACAGAGAGCCTTGAGTACAGCCTCATTGCGTCAAGTCTGAGAATAGAGGTGGAGTCAGTAATGGAAACTTTCCGATGGCTTGAGAACAGTACGGCCTGACATATTGTGACTGTAACAGACTCACAGAGCAAGCTTCGGAAAATTGAAACGGGAGTCCTGTCCTCAAAATGGCTTTCATCACTTGATGAGAACAAGAGGAATAGCATTTCAAGGATTTTCTGTAAAGAATATTCAGCTTCTTCGAGGTAACGACCAGGCTGATAGAGTGGCTGCTCCTCTGGGTGGTGAGACAATATATGATAAAGCATGAAGGTGAAGGCTCTATGGTGTTCAATGACAGTGCATTAGAACACATTGGGAATCCATACACTGACAGGTTAATTTAATGGTGGATGTGTAGGGGCTCTGGAAGATATTCAAGATTGACACAGGGGACACAAAGGCGAACTTTTAATCAGGATGCAACTGATATTATTTGCATGTCGACTGATTGCTGATGAAGGGGACGGAGCACGTATGGGAATGTTATGTGTAAAGAGATGTCAATTTTTTGTTGATTGATTCATTCTAATTTTCAATATGTCTTTTTCGGGGTATATTGGTGGGAGAAAAGGGCGGGGGGGGGGGGGGGGGGTTCCCAGATACTTGTTAAAGTGTGATGGTATGAGTGTTGAAACGCACTGTAGAACATAAAGTAGCCACATCAATCAATCTCAATGTAAAGTACTTGATCACAGACAATTCCAGCAGAAGCTATTCAACCACAGACTACTTCACCACAGACCACTCCAGAACAGACTACTTCATCGCAAACTAAGCCAGAACAGACTACTTCATCACAACCTACTCCAGAACAGACTACTTCATCACAAACTACTGCACAACAGACTACTTCCCCACAGACCATTCCAGAACAGACTACTTCATCACAAACTACTCCAGAACAGACTACTTTATCACAAACTACTCCACAACAGACTACTTCATCACAAACTACTCCACAACAGACTACTTCATCACAAACTACTCCACAACAGACTACTTCATCACAAACTACTCCACAACAGACTACTTCATTACAAAGTATTCCACAACAGTCTACTTCATCACAAACTACTCCACAACAGACTACTTCATTACAAACTACTCCAGAACAGACTACTTCACAACAAACTACACCACCACAGACTAAAGTTAGTTGCGTATTCTTCATAGGACGTTGCATGACCAACCCCATAATTTTTTTGCTGTTGTGGTTTTTCTAATTTACGTCCATTAGTTTGATATTGCTTACTGGACGGTCGGCTTTTTGATACCATTGTCGAAACCAACGCAAAGCGCAATGCCGGTAGCTGGGATTGAATCCGGCGACCGGGTATTACAGGGCGCACTCCACCACAGACTACTTCACCACAAACTAATTCACCACAGTCTACTTCACCACAGACTACTTCACCACAGTCTACTTCACCACAGACTACTCCACAAACTGCTCCACAACAGTCTTCTCCACAAACTGCTCTACCACAGTCTTCTCCACAAACTGCTCCACCACAGTCATCTCCACAAACTGCTTCACTACAGTCATCTCCACAAACTGCTCCACCACAGTCATCTCCACAAACTGCTCCACCACAGTCATCTCCAAAAACTGCTCCACCACAGTCATCTCCACAAACTGCTCCACCACAGTCATCTCCACAAACTGCTTCACTACAGTCATCTCCACAAACTGCTTCACCACAGTCATCTCCACAAACTGCTCCACCACAGTCATCTCCACAAACTGCTCCACCACAGTCATCTCCACAAACTGCTTCACTATAGTCATCTCCACAAACTGCTCCACCACAGTCATCTCCACAAACTGCTCCACCACAGTCATCTCCACAAACTGCTTCACTACAGTCTACTCCACATACTACTTCACCACAGTCTTTTCCACAAACTGCTTCACTACAGTCTACTCCACATACTACTCCACCACAGTCTACTCCACAAACTGCTCCACCACAGTCTACTCCACAAACTGCTCCACCACAGTCATCTCCACAAACTGTTCCACCACAGTCTATTCCACAAACTGTTCCACCACAGTCTACTCCACAAACTGTTCCACCACAGTCTACTCCACAAAATGCTCCACCACAGTCTACTCCACAAACTGTTCCACCACAGTCTACTCCACAAACTGCTCCACCACAGTCTACTCCACAAACTGCCCCACCACAGTCTACTCCACAAACTACTTTACCACAGTCTACTTCACCACAGTCTACTTCACCACAGTCTACTTCAACACAGTCTACTTCACCAGAGTCTACTTCACCACAGTCTACTTCACCACAGTCTACTTCACCACAGTCTACTTCACCACAGTCTACTTCACCACAGTCTACTTCACCACAGTCTACTTCACCACAGTCTACTTCACAAACTACTTCACCACAGTCTACTTCACCACAGTCTACTTCACAAACTGTTCCACCACAGTCTACACCACAAACTACTTCACCACAGTCTACTTCACCACAGACTACTTCACAAACTGTTCCACCACAGTCTACTCCACAAACTGCTCCACCACAGTCTACTCCACAAACTGCTCCACCACAGACATCTCCACAAACTGTTCCACCACAGTCTACTCCACAAACTGTTCCACCACAGTCTACTCCACAAACTGTTCCACCACAGTCTACTCCACAAACTGCTCCACCACAGTCTACTCCACAAACTGTTCCACCACAGTCTACTTCACCACAGTCTACTTCACCACAGTCTACTCCACAAACTACTTCACCACAGTCTACTTCACCACAGTCTACTTCACCACAGTCTACTTCATCACAGTCTACTTCACGACAGTCTACTTCACCACAGTCTACTTCACGACAGTCTACTTCACCACAGTCTACTTCACGACAGTCTACTTCACCACAGTCTACTTCACCACAGTCTACTCCCCAAACTGCTCCACCACAGTCTACTCCCCAAACTGCTCCACCACATTCTTCTTCACCACAGTCTACTTCACCACAGTCTACTCCCCAAACTGCTCCACCACAGTCTTCTTCACCACAGTCTACTCCACAAACTGCTCCACCACAGACTATTTCACAACACACCACTCCACCACAGACTACGCCACCACAGACTACTACATCACAGACTACGCCACCACTGACCACTACATCACAGACTACGCCATTACAGACTACGCTACCACAGACTACTGCATCACAGACTACTACAATACAGACTACGCAACCACAGACTACTGCATCACGGACTACTACAATACAGACTACACCACTACAGACTACTGCATCACAGACTACTGCATCATAGACTACGCCACCACAGACTACTGCATCACAGACTACGCCACCATAGACTACGCCACCACAGACTACTGCATCACAGACTACGCCATCATAGACTACGCTACCACAGACTACGCCACCACAGACTACGCCATCACAAACTACGCCACCACAGTCTACGCCACCACAGTCTACGCCACCACAGACTACTGCATCACAGACTACGCCACCACAGACTTCTACATCACAGACTACGCCACCACAGACTACAGCATCACAGACCACAGACTAAGCCACCACAGACTACGCCACCACAGACTACTGTATCACAGACTACGCCACCACAGACTACAGGATCACAGACTACGCCACCACAGACTACCGCACCACAGACTACAGCATCACAGACTACGCCACCACAGACTACTATTACCATACACACACACATTTCCACAAAACAACCCAAGACACACTTTTTTAAACCCCGCTGTACTATTATCCTGCACTCTACAAATTCTGTACTATTACCAGTCTTTAACTGAACACCCTAATCTCTTCCTCATCCCTCCCCTGAAGCACAATCAAGCCGGTGTTAAATAATGCAGAACAGGCCTACTGTGTTAACCAGTCAGTGGCTGTCGCCCCCCCCCCCCCCCCCCCATACTTAAAGCAAACACATTCTCGCTTCAGTGACCATAAACAAGCTGTGGATTTAGTTATTTAAAGTGCATTATCTTCATTATTTTCAAATACCCTTGAGTTATCTTGCTTCACTCGACTACGCCTGGGTGCCGATTTCGTTCATCTGACAAAAGAAGCCTCCGTGCCTTGACAAACCAACAACAGTAGAAGAACTATGTTTGTGGTAACGCTCCAACTAGGTCTGTTTTTATGTCTGTGCTATTATGTTTTCATGTCTCAACAAGGTCTGTGTTCATGCTTCAACTGTGTAAGTGTTCACGCATCAACTATATCTGCTTTTATGACTGAACTATGCTTCCATGTCCTAACTGTTTATGTCACATTTCAAATATTTATGTTTTTGTGATTCATCTATGTCAATTTTATGTTAGTTAGTTAGTTAGTTAGTTAGTTAGTTAGTTAGTTAGTTAGTTAGTTAGTTAGTTAGTTAGTTAGTTAGTTAGTTAGTTAGATAGTTAGTTAGTTAGTTAGTTAGTTAGTTAGTTAGTTAGTTAGTTAGTTAGTTAGTTAGTTAGTTAGTTAGTTAGTTAGTTAGTTAGTTAGTTAGTTAGTTAGTTAGTTAGTTAGTTAGTTAGTTAGTTAGTTAGTTAGTTAGTTAGTTAGTTAGTTAGTTAGGTAGGTAGGTAGGTAGATAGTTAGTTGTTTAGTTAGTTAGTTAGTTAGTTAGTTAGTTAGTTAGTTAGTTAGTTAGTTAGTTAGTTAGTTAGTTAGTTAGTTAGTTAGTTAGTTAGTTAGTTAGTTAGTTAGTTAGTTAGTTAGTTAGTTAGTTAGTTAGTTAGTTAGTTAGTTAGTTAGTTAGTTAGTTAGTTAGTTAGTTAGATAGTTAGTTAGATAGTTAGTTAATTAGTTAGTTAGTTAGATAGTTAGTTGTTTAGTTAGTTAGTTAGTTAGTTAGTTAGTTAGTTAGTTAGTTAGTTAGTTAGTTAGTTAGTTAGTTAGTTAGTTAGTTATTTAGTTAGTTAGTTAGTTAGTTAGTTAGTTAGTTAGTTAGTTAGATAGTTAGTTGTTTAGTTAGTTAGTTAGTTAGTTAGTTAGTTAGTTAGTTAGTTAGTTAGTTAGTTAGTTAGTTAGTTAGTTAGGTAATTAGCTTGTTAGTTAGTTATTAGTTAGTTAGTGTGGGCAGCATAGCAATAAAAGAGCTTTAAACTAGCTAAGGAAGGTGCAAATGAAGAACAACCTGACGTACCAGTCTCTTATCAACAGAAGAAAAGAATAATCAAATCAGTCAGAAAGCTACTAAAACCGGCACAAGACGATTACTAATTTATGGATAGACCAGGGCAGGATATTATTTTACATCTTAGAACAGGACACAATCGACTTCGCAGCCACGTGTACACACAATTTAAAATCGGCGAATCAGCCATGTGCACATGTGGACTGGCACCCGAGACAACAGATCACGTCCTCCAAGACTGTCCCAAATACAACATTAACTCTTTTAGGACGGCATTTTTTCTGGGGTTTGGACAGCATTAATTTTAAGCGGAATTTTTTTTAGTGCAACACGACAAAGCTATAACCTTCCTGAAGAAAAAGTATGGGCTGTATCGGGACTTATAATATATCAAATTAAAGATAAATGAGGGCAGAATAAATCTAAACTATTTAAATGTCAGTATAACATCAAAATATTATTTAAATCACACAACATTCAAGGATGTTAGATACATATGAAAATTTTTGACATAAGAAATTGTGTGCTAACCTTATTTTTTTACTGGTTCAACAACACTGCTATCCAATTTTACGAATACACATGCCTTCTCTGTTCAATTATGTATTAGCTAGTCTTTATTTGAAACAATTAATTTGAATGCTTTGGATATTATTATCATTTTTGTATGACATGTCAATTTAAAAAACAACAAAAATCGGAAAACAGCTGATCGAAACATTGATCTAATTGAAATATTTTGTGAAATTTTCATATCCTAAACTAAATTATCGCTAGTAAATTTGTCCCTTAGATATCAATCATAATATCAATACTGTTGTCACCATCTGGCAGAGATTCATCAACGATAGAGCAGTATGAACAACTCTAGACCTTTTCACTTATCATTTAGTATAGAAAAATCACGTAAAAATTGTATCCCATCTAAATAATTTTTTTTTAAATCACAAAATAATGCACCGACTACGAAGAACATCGCAAATGAAAGTACATCCTGTCGTTAATCATAATTGTTAAAAAACCTGTTCATAAAAAATCGTTTGCCCTTCAAACGGAACAAAATTAGAGTGTCTCTATCATAAGGCCAGTAAACTGGCTTTACGTCTTTAATGGATAGACTTAATCGCCAGTATACTGGCTAAACGTCCGTAAAGAGTTAAACAGCAAAACTTTTGGTCAAGAAAAACATCGGTGCAAGTCAAACTTTACGGGTCGCTGAGTGAATGACAAAAGACAGTGAAGTTCATACTAGAGACTACATTGCAGATTTAGATAATCTATTTCAAGCGAATAAAAGAAGAAGAAGAAAAAGTTATCTAGTTAGTCGACAGATTATCCTTATTGCACATCGAACAATTCAGTCCATACGTGGTCAGATCCCCTTTAGTAAATCCCGCAGCGTGTAGCAGTTGACAACACCAATCCAGTATCGGTTTCCTATCCTTTTTTCTGGCTTCTTGCATACTGTTCTTGTCCAGCGACGCCCCTTTCAACATGTTGTTCTTGTAGTCTGGCCATGGTTGCAGATTCGCAGTCATCACTTGGTTCTCGCAAATGTCTTACTTCTCGTAGAGCATTCAGTATATCAGCCTGGTCCATGGCTCGCACGCCCTCCACGGTAGCTTTACCAGCAAGCCGATCAGCTTGCTCATTTCCTTGCACTCCTGCGTGCCCTGGCACGAATATAAAACTATTTCTCAGCCCTTATCACTTCACAGATTCCAACCATTGTCTTCGGACCCAGCTAATATCTATCTTCTTGAGCAAACTCATTGGTTACCGAGAAAGCATGCGCAGGTAAAGGGTCTGTGTCTCCTGCCATGTCACTCTAGCTTGGGTCACTGCCATAACCTCCTTATTCATACTAATTATGGTCAAGAGAAAGCATCAGAATCTTGCTTCACAATTCTAACCGGAGCCGTAAAAGCCTACGAGTTCTTTTTTATTTCATGGCTCTACCATGCATGTCTCTTTTCAGATTTCAACTACGTTTGATTTGTTTTTATTTTGTACGCAGTAACGCTTGAACTTGGCATATTTTCATGTATTAATTATGTTTTTATGTTTAAAATATATCTGTTGTTAATTTTCAGCTAGTTTGATGTACCGTATAATGTCTCAACAAAGTCTGTTTTCGTGCTTCAGCTTTAAACATGTTCATGCATCAGCTATGTCTGCGTTATATAACATGGTTATGTTTTTATGTCTTTATTACGACTGTTTCATGAACTAATAAGATATGTTTCAATCGGCAAAAGCCAGTAAAACGGTTGTACACGCAAAACTCAGGTCCAGTAAAAGCCAAAAGTTCAAGCGGACGATTAACCTTACCTTCCGCGGGAATTCACAGTCGGTAAACGAAGAAGAAGAAGAACAAGAATGCCTTAAATATGTAAAAGTTAACGCATCAATCATGAATGCTATCATTTCTTAATTGTATTTATATGGCCCGACTGTGTCCTAG